GTTTGCCGAACAAGGAGGCTCTGGGCAGGAGGCGAAACTACCGGAGCCAGCACATTCCACCACATGGCTCGCAAGTAGCTAGATGACAGGCGCACGCCACTACGCCCGACAAAGTTCCTGTTTTAGTCAGTTAACCCAGTTCCAATGTCTTCTCCGTTTACGTAGCATTGCAAATCACATTAGATGAATAAGCGGTAATTCGGTCAGTTTGCCTGATTGTTTATGATTTTTCTTATAGATGATTAAAGCCCTCGGTGGAAGCTAACTCACGCTGAATAAGCATCATCTAATATGCTCGATTAAACAACGCACCTTCCATAAAAATCGCTGCTTTATTTAAGATATCAGAAAGACATCTCCCTGATGAAGGCTGAAAGACTTGATGATTTAACCTCGAGTTCAGGTGCTTAATATTTTTGCGAGGACAAGACTGTTAATATTTGACCCTCAAGATATTAAAAAATAGTAATTTGCACTAACTACCGGTCCGGGGTTTTAACTACCTGAAATACATGGAGTTAACACAAAAAAAACAGCAACTCGGGTTTTGGAGCACAACCTATTATTATTGTTGACATCTGTGAGTGATTAGGCATGTCATTTCGACTACCTTCGCAGAATTTCCCGCACGTTTAAGATAAAAAAAACATTAAGTCTGCATACCCACGGTTGTCGGTAGTCAATGTTAATGCTTATGCTCGTTAATGCTAGTAAAATTAAGTGAAAGCGGGATAAGCTGTGCTCATATATGTGCAATTAGTCCTATAACTTATGTTTTGCGCTGTCATTAGCGTCACATGAAGTACTTCTTTTAGTTTATGACAACTTCCATTAATACAAATTGTCGTTTGTCTAGAGAGCAGCAGTAGAAAATACTAGATAGTAGACAAAGTGGAACTTAAAAAAAGATTGTTTGGTGCATGGCCTTTTTAATTTTAATTACGATAACAAACTGCTTGCCTTATTGGGAAAAAGTACGAGGTCTGGCTTGATTTTCTCCTTGCTCGACTACAGGCAACAATTATTGTAAATCCTTCAAAATAACCTTTCTAAATTATCTAATGTGAGTAATATGGGACCTTTATTATCTCCTCGAACAAGTGGTCTTTATTAAGCAGCTATTCGGCTCCTTCCAGTCTGAACGAACATCATTAAAACGGCGAGAAAACTACACTAAAACTGCGTATGTGTTCAAGAACTGCCAAATTTGTGTTAGAGAGAATAATTTATAGTTCATATTTTAGCAACGGACAGCTTCCTCCGACGGCAAAGAAAAAATGAGCATCGCAAAGCCTCCTTTTTCTAACTCGCCTTTGCGATTGTGTTAAGTACCCTCAAGTTTTCAAAGTGTTTGTTCTCAAGTCAAATTTAATTCCTCAGTATTATAGTGACACTATTTGCAACCAAGGATTGATTTTATAAAGTATCACTGATATTCCTCTGCTCTTCGGTAAGCCTCCAATGATGTTCAACCGCATGCCGTCTAGAATTGCATCATTTATTTATCCCAGACGAGGGACGCATGCAACTCCCAATCAGAAGTTACAGCAAGTAAAAAAGACATTTTCTCATCTTAAAACCGATGTGATCTCTCAGGCCATATTAACCCATATCATGAAGTGTGCTTTCAGTTATAAAGTACACCAACATACTCGTTTGACCGTATTTTATTTTTTAATACCAAGATTCGAGACCTTAAATAAGATACATATATTTTGCCGTGGACAGGTTCACTTAAAGCCATCTATATTATATTTTAATCACGTGACAAAACACGCTTTTGCGCAATTCTTTTCTAGTAATGCATGAGCTCGAAACATAACCGACAGAAAATAAAAAAGTTTTGCGAAATCTTGGAAAATATTCGGACACTCGTTGGACGATTTACAGTCATAGCATAGGCCCTAAAGGTAATCAGTTATACCTAACAATAGTTCAATATAAAAAGCGAAGTGAGCGCCTTCTTCTGCACGAGAAATATTATCACTAATTTTCAGGCAAATTTAATAACCTTTCCAAAGCTCCTGTTTTTGGTAATACTCTGGCAGAAACAAGCTTACGCAAGAATTCGTCAACCGAATCTATGATTAAATTGTTTCATAAGAATGTTGCTAATTACGGAACGGTGTGCAATTGATCTTAGGCATATTAGCATATATAATATTGTTCTGGACATTCATATTAGCAATGCATTTTTGACTTTGGTCGATTCTATAAATATGATCCAAAAGGCCGTTATAATGAGGGGTTATATCCCAACCTCACTTGTTTGGCAATTTAGAAAATATATTGATATCGATATATTGATATATATATATTATGTTGAAAGCTCTGTTACCCACGTCAAACAAAATCTAACTTTTTTGAAAAAAGTTATCTCAGCATGGAAAATCAAAGAATATTCGCCCTTATTTTAAGGAAGCTCTGCAACTAATTGTAATGCAACGACAAAATTTAATAAAGAACTTATACAAAAGAAAAGTGCTTTTGGTATTCGTAAAATTGCGTGTTTATCATTTTAACTTGCAATTATATTTACGGTTGCAAAAATTCCAATCAGACTATTCAGAAGAGCAATTGACCCAAGTTTCTGGGTCAGCATCTGCCAGCAACAGAAGTAGCAGCCGCTAACAGGTTGAGGATGCTGATCTATTGTGCACAAAGGAACCGCATGCAAGCCCCACGTCTGGCAACGCCAGCTGTCGCGTGAATGCATACACATTTTGGCGCTCTGTCTCTCCCTCCCCCTCCCCCCTGGAACGTCTCAACCAAAGTCTCCGCGTCGCGTAGTCAGCTTTTTTTATTGACCCCAACCGCCCGCTTCTATTCCAACGATAAACTTGTATGAAAAGTTGTACAAAGAGGCGAAAATTATTGACCGCATGTTTTAGCTTACACCCCGTGACCATGTTAATGCACTGGTTTGATGAGAATTTATCACACGTTTACGTATGATAAAGAACTGCTCTTCTGAAATCTGTTTACGTCTATTGGTAACAGTTTGAGCGCATTTTTACGTTTTCGGTATTTGCCGACTTTTAAAAAAATTGGAATTTCAAAATGAATCAGGAACACTTTTCATATTTGATGTAGTTTTTATCAGATTCACCTAAGGTTCAAGAAGTCAACCCCGGCGAAAGTGATTTTTAGATTATACATGATCAGACGATTATTGTAACGTAAGGGAGGTTACAGTGAAAACAGTTTCAATATGCAATAGAACGTAAGTATTCGGAGGACTTTTCATGTAGCAAAGGGTCAGGAACCAGTAGTGCTTTAATATTTCCCATTTTATTCTACACGCGTTACTACGAGTTTGCGAGTGATTAGAACATTTCCGCACATTTCTTTTGTTTAGGTCCTCTAATGTGTGCCAGTGATGTTGCCAAAGCACATAAAAATTCAGGTCTGATCATCAAACAGGAACCAATAACAGCATGAGACGCTCAATCAGGGATAATAGGTAGTATGCGATGAGGATAAAAATGGCCCCCTTTCAACGGACGAAGAAAATTTCACTGTGCTACGTACATAGTGACAGCAGCCCTTTTATTACAAGCACTCGGTGAACTACACGCAAAACGCCATGCGTTATGGAAGCACCAATGTTTGGCTCTCATTCGCATGCTTCCCAGACAAGATGACATGAAGTCAACGGCTCTTAAGTTATGATACAAGGTCGAAGGCTCGTATCCACTTTCATTGCCACCTTGCAGACCTTAAACTTCACTTTCAGTGTCTCCATCGTGCAGCGACCACCACATCCCCCCATACACTGCCTGTATCTTTTTCTACCCAGTGCATTTCAGCTGAATTAACGTAGAACCTTTTAAAAAACACTCACAAAAGCCATTAAAACATATAACATATGCCTTTTAGGCCGCAGACGACGGTAGCATGCGCCTAGGTAATTTAGTATTTTTCTCAACAGGAAGAATGGTATTTGGTACTGGCAAAACAAAGGAAGTGTATTTTGTTCCCGTCCCATGAATTTTAAAAGCACGCTTTCTTTTCGCGTCGTGAAACAGCGAAAGTGTGTGAGTATTAAATGTCCGAAAAGATAAATTATTTCACTTCACTGTCACAAAAGAAAGTGAATAATTCAATTTACACTGCGATGCTAGAAAGTTCCATGATCCTTCATTGGGTGATGCGCTCTAGTATGCCATATTGTTTGAAGCGTTTTCGTTGATATTTGCATTGCCTTACATAAGCCATATTATCCAGAAAGGTTATCACGGATAATAGCTTTTAGCACCAAATGTAAGCGAAAATTGGGAAAACGACTCCTTAATTAGACGGGATTTCGAGTCGATCACGTCGGTCTTCATACGCAGACCTGTATCAATAATATAATGGGTTGCAAATTCGTTAAACAAATTTTTAACATTTGGTCAGCGACTCCCAAATACCTATCAGTGGCAATCAGCAACATAAACGTGGTATCAAGTGTAGAGATCTATAGCCGTGGGCAGGAGGATAAACTTACTCCGCAGGTTATGTTCATGGCAGATGTAATTGGCGGCCTTGAGTGATCTCTTGGTGTCCAGGGTAAATGACCAAATTACGTTCAAGTACATCTCGTCGGGTCCATTCCTGCATTTCTTGGCTACTTCAGCCTGCATACATTGAAACACAGTGATATGACCCTTTGTCCTAAAATGGATTTAAAAAGCAATGTAAGCAACGCGTCCGAGAACCAGTATGCACGTGTTATTCTGGAATGCATAATCAGGTACCTGCTGATTTGTCCACAAAATGCGTCAAACCGCCTAAATATCTCAATTTACTCGGACTTCAGAGCCATGGATATGAACTTAACGAAGACTGAAATTGAAAGGTATAAGCCAACGCACATCCGACACTAATGCAACCTTCATGTTCAGTATTATATGATAATACAACACAAGACAAATTTTCTGTAGAAATAAGTAAGTTCTCCAAACTAACTTAAGTTATTCTGGTTGGCCAAAAAATTTAAATGTGTGCAAAAGAGGCAAGAATGTTTCCAGGCCATTTCATTGAAAAGATATGTCAGACAACCCCAGTGGTAAAGGAGCGTTATCAAAAGGAGAATATATTTAAATCTTATTGCTAATGGGTATGATCCTGAGGTTTTCGTTGTGAATTCTTTAGACTAGAGAACTTCAGAGCCTGCAGACATATACGGCCTCTGATATAAAGAATGTTTTACGTGTCGAAATATGATAATTTTACAAGAAAACAGTATAGAAGACTCAGCTTGTGACGATCGATAGAACCGAAACCATCAATCAAAGGAAAAAAGTAGTTTTGGAGAAATGGACTAGATACTATATGGCTGATGTTTGCCACGACAAAGATAACTTATCACTTGATTTTTGAAGCAAATATCTGCATGATATACAGTAGCCCCCGAAGGCCATGCAACGCTAATTATGAAATTTGCCTCGACAAATTCGGAATATATTTGAAAACACTATTGTGATTCATTCAGTTTATTGAATTCTGCA